AGAATCACCATATCCACTTTAAAAAATTAGGTGACTCTACTACGCGTTGACAAAACTTTCTTTGTGTATTTGTTGAAGAGAATAAAACAGTTTTCCATGTCATGACACCAAGATATATCTCGTCCAACATGCTGAAAATCTTGTATTCAGACATTGATCCTTTCTAGGCTTTCTCACCTATTGGCATTTGAGCGTAGGTTTATAGAGTGATGTCGAGATATCGTTTCATTGCAGTTACCGTTGCCTCATATCTAACTATAGTTTAGTCATACAAAGTCAATGTTACTAAGATGCTAAACCAGCAAATCTTCCTGCGAATCTTCAAATTCTACTTTGCTCAAACATGCTTAACCCACCAAGCATGAAGACATTTAAGTTGTAAGGTCTTGCCATAGGCAGTTATAAGGGTACAACATCATAAATCTTTATAAAGCTATTTTGAGAAAACTTGTCCTATCCTTATGTGCTAAGGTCGAATTACGTAATTGCTACATTGTGAAGCAGGCTAAAATTCGAATTACGTAATTGCTACCTTGTGAAGCAGGCTAAAATTCACAGAGTTATCTAGTAGCTACTTACCAATATTTTTAATGCTGCGGGACGTTTCATCAAAGGTGTCGTAGCTGGATCACATAGTTAAGTTCAGGCCCTCATCCATTACCGTTTAACTCGCTCCAAGATCTCAGAAATTCAGGTGTATGCGACAAATGGTTCTTTCCCTTCTATTTTATGCAGTAGTAGTAGCTTATCTTAACTTGACGTGCTATAGTCTTTTCAAGTAATCTTGTTGTTAGGTTAACTCTGTGGCAATATGTATTTTTGATTTTCATCCGTTAGCTTTCCTTTGACATCCACAAAAAGCTGCCGTGTGGTTTGATTGCTTCGCATTATGGTCAAAATCATTTTAAAAATTACTTACAAATTCCGAAATGAAGGTAGATGCGTATCGGTGGTGTCTTTGGTCTTGGCTGTAATAAATTCAAAAATATGATTGCATTAACGGTGAATGCTCGCATTTTTACGCGCTAACACGTCTCCGTAGAATATTAGCCGACGAGCAGACTATGCTAATTTTTTGTTTTTCTACTTTTATCCTTTTTTAGGAGTTCATTTATGCTTTCGCTTACTACTTTATCCATGCTTCTGTTCCTTTCCATATTCCCGTTTCACTCTTAAAAATTCACCAGTTATTTCCAGATTTCGGTCAAACTTATCACACAAAACAGATGTCAGTTGATGATCCGTTGGTGAATGGCGTTCCGCTTTCGTCTTTGCGAGTTGTCGACTTGAAAGATGAGTTAGACAAGCGAGGACTGTCAAAAATTGGAAATAAGTCCGTTCTTATTGAACGGCTGAAAGAGGTTTGTAATTAACTCCGAGCTTGCCTATTGTATGTAGTTTTTA